ATATATATATATATATATATATATATATATATATGTTGTTTGGTGTTGCTGCAGTGAGCGTAGCACTACGAGCTGTCTCCTTAGGGGAGGCGTTTGCTGCGGTGTCGATGGGTTCGCCTCCTCCGTCTCCTCCTGCTGGGGTGTCTCTGCTAGGAGGCGTAGAAGTTATATTAGCGAAGGCAGGCTGGGTTCGCCGAAGCAGCAGCACGAAGTGTCTGCGCAGAGAACATATTCACGAAATCGTGCATTAAATAATACTATCATTTCAATATACTCTTCCTCTTCCTGCTGCTGCTGCTGCTGCTGCTGCTGTTGTTGTTGTTGTTTTGTTGTTGTTGTTTTGTTGTTGTTGGTGTGGCTGGAACGGTGTGCTGCTGCTGTGGAGAGGGGTTCCTGCTGCTGCTGCTGCTGCTGCTGCAACAGAGCTGTTAAAAGCTACGCGGTGCAGCAGCAGCTCTGCAGCAGCAGCTAAGGCAGCAAACTGCAGCTGCTGAGCCCCTTCCTATGCACAGTCAGGCTGCAGCGCGCGCAGCAACGGGAGAAGCAACTATCTTCGTTGCATGCAGCAGCAGCAGCAGCAGCAGCAACAGCACCAGTGGTATGAGCAGCGGCAGCAGCAGCACAATCAGCAACAACAGCAACAGCAAGAGCAGCAACAGCAACTACAGCTGCTGCTGCTTGTGTAGGAACAGCAGCAGAAGATTACTGAAGGGGGAGACTGCTGCACATATACTTAGCTTGACATCTTTGCTGCGCATCTATGCTGCTGCTGCTTTGCTGCTGCTGCCGCCGCAGGCTGGCAGCAGCAGCAGCAGCAGCAGCAAACTTTACAAGCGCATTTCTTTTTAACTCCCACAGAAGAAAATATATTTTTGTTATGTAATTTGGTAGTAAATTATAGCGGTGCTGCAACTGCAGGGTTTGTGCATTGTGTAGGGCAACTTGCAGCTGTTGCTGCTGCTGCTGCTGCTGCTGCTGCTGCTGCTGCTGCAGTTATCTCTACCTCTTTAGGGAGGTCTCTAACAACTCTTTCTCTGAGCTGACGGCTACCTGCTGCGGCCAACTGCAGCAGCCGCATTACTCCTGGCTGCTGCTGCTGCAGCAGCACTTGCTGTTGCAGCAACTGTTGCTGCAGCTGCTGCTCCAGCTGCTGCTGTTGCTGCTCCTCTACTCCCCAGTTGTAGGCATGCAGCTCTGCTGCAGCGCTGCCTCCCCACATCTGCTGCAGCATGCGATGCTGCTGCTGCTGCTGCTGCTGCAACTTACTCGCAGGTTGTTGCTGCACTTGAAGCTGCTGCTGCTGCTGTACCTGCTGCTGCTGCTGCTGCACCTGCTGCTTCTGCTGCTGGGGCCCCACAGCAAGCTCATGTGGTGTACTGCCAGCAGCAGCAGCAGGCAGCAGCGGCTGCACTGGAGGCGCGTCGCAGCAACTAACGCTGCAGCACCCATCCTCCAGGGGCTCCACATCGTTAAACTGCAGCAGCTGCTGCTGCTGCTTCTGCTGCTGCTGCTGCTGCTGCTGCTGTGCATGCATTTGCTGCAGCAGAGTTGGCGCAGCTGTAGTGCCTGAGGTGCTCTTCACACTCCCAAACGAAGGCTGAGGCCCACTCAGAGCAAAGCACTGCAGCAATCCTTGCTGCTGCTGCTGCTGCTGCAGCTGCTGCTGCTGCAGGTGTTGTTGCTGCTGCTGCTGCCGTTGCTGCAGCTGTTGCTGCTGCTGCACTTGGTGCTGTTTCGTGGGTTGAGAGAACTGCGGTGTGCAGTTACTGCCGGGGGAAATTTGCTGCTGTTGCTGCAACTGCTGAAGCAGCAACTGCTGCTGCTGCAGCTGCTGTAGCTGCTGCTGCTGCTGCTGCTGCTGCTGCAGCTGTTGCTGCTGGAACTGTTGCTGCTGCTGCAGCACATCAACGTTAGGGGCAACCGGCAGCCTGCATAGCCTGCTGCAGCAATGATTCTGCTGCAATGAGGCCTTCTGCTGCTGCTGCATTTGCAGTTGCTGCTGCACTTGCTGCTGCAGCACCAGCAGCTGATCTCGCTGTGGATTCAAAAGGGTATGAAAGGCGACGCTGCTGCTGCTGCTGCTGCTGTTGTGCTCTGTCCCGAGCTCTGGTGTATGAGCAGCGCAGCACCGTTGCCCTTGGAAAAGGAGCCGCTCCTGCTGCAGCTGCTGCTGCTGCAGTTGCTGCTGCTGCTGCTGCATCTCCTGCAGTTCTGGATGCAAAAGCTGCAGATGCTGCTGCTGCAGTTGCTGCTGCTGCAGTCGCTGCTGCTGCTGCAGCTGCTGCAGCTGCTGTTGCTGCTGCAGGTACTGATGGCTAATAGGTGCCTGAAGGTGCTGCAGCTGTAATTGTTGTTGCTGCTGCTGGAATTGAAGCTGCTGCACTTGCTGCTGCTGCTGTTGCTGCTGCCACGGCACACAAGAGAAGCACTCAGGTACAGACAAAAGCAGATTTACTGTACTGGGCTGCTGCTGCTGCTGCTGCTGCTGCGCCCCAAGCTGCTCCTGGTGATGCAGCCGATGTTGCTGTGGCAGCTGCTGCAGCTGCTGCTGCAGCTGTTTCTGGTGCAGGTGCTTCTGCTGCTGCATATGCTGCTGCTGCTGCTGCTGCTGCTGCTGCTGCAGCAAAGGGGCCTGGCACTGATGTTCAACACGCAAAGACTCAAACTGCGCGTTGCTGCTCTCTCCGTAAAGCCATTCCTGCTGCTGCTGCTGTTGCTGTTCCTGTGTTTCCTGCTGCTGCTGCTGCTGCTGCTGCTGCTGCTGCGGCTGCTGTGTTTCCTCCTGCTGCTGTGTTTCCTCCTCCTGCTGCTGCTGCTGGTGCGTCTCTTGCTGCAGCTGCAGCAAATCATCTGGGGACAGTGTGCGGGCGCTGTCGCAGATGAGCATTCCCCTGCTGCACTGTAGGTCTGCTGCTGCTGCTGCTGCTGCTGTTTCTGCTGCTGAAGCCGGAAGCTTGAGTAGCTGGCGAGTGGTGGGGGCTGCTGGGCTCCAACTGTTGTTGTAGCTGCTGCTGCTGCTGCTGCTGCTGCTGCTGTGCGTCACTGCAGCGGGCATCAGCAGCACAACGTGCTTCCTCGGGCAATTCTGGGGCTTCCTCTGGGTGAGGAGCACTCGGGGCTGCTGCTGTTGCTGCTGCTGTTGCTGCTGCTGCTGCTGCTGATCTGTCTCCTCAGGTGCAGCAGCAGGCTGATGGCTGGCAAAGCCTGCTGCTGCCGATCCTGCAGCAGCAGCAGCAGTTGGGGCCTGCGGTGCCTTGGATGCTCCCGCGGTGTCTTGACATGTGACTCTGTGCTGCTGCTGCAGTTGCTGCTGCTGCAGGTGTTGCTGCAGCAGGTGCTGCTGCTGGCGGCGCCTTTGTAGGCAACAGTGAACTGCAGCAGCAGTTTTAGCCGCAGCAGCAGCAGCTGCTGCTGCTTCAGCAGGAGGTAGACCTGCTTCTTGGGAGGCATTCGTCTGACGCTGCTGCAGAGGCAGGTCGCCTTGATCAGCAGCAGCAGCAGCAGCAGCAGCAGAATGACGGCCCAGCAAGCAAGGAGGAAGCTGTCTTCTGCTGCTTTGGGGGGGCGTCAGCACATCAAAGCTTCTTAGAGACCCCGCAGAGAGGCTGCGATCCCCGTGCGGTGTATGTGCAGCTGAACCTGCAGCAACAGCAGCAGCAGCAGCTGCTGCTGCTGCTGCTGTTGAGGCTGCTGCTGCTGGAGGCCGAGGGCAAACCCCAGGGACACCACGAGCAGGCGTCAGGCAGCAGCAGCAGCAGCAGCCTTTGGCTGCTGCTGCTGCTGCTTCCGCTCCAGCCTCAGCAGGTGATGCTGCAGCTGCTGCTGCTGCCGCCTTACAAGTCTGCTGCTGCTGCTGCTGCTCCTGCCTGCTTGCTGGAGATAGCTCGCTGCAGGAGGTGCAGCAGCAACGCATGCACAACTGCGTCTGCTGCTGTTGCTGCTGCGCAGACAGCTGCTGCGTTTTTACTGGACCTTGCTGTTGTTTCTGCTTTTGCTGTTGCTGCTGCTGCTGCTGCTGCAGTTGCTGCCGCCGCATGCAGAGCGCTCGGTGCTTCTGGTGTTGCCTGGCGGGAACAGCCGAATGCCGAGGGCAGCGACCTGCTGCTGATGCGGTTGCTGCTGCTGGTGCTCTTGCTGCTGTTGCTGCTGCTGCTGGCTGCTGCTGCATGCTCTGTGGCGATACGGCGGCTGGCGCTGGTGCTGCTGCTGCTATTGCTGCTGCTTTTCGTGCAGCAACAGAAGCTGCTGCTGGAGGTTCTGCCGCCGCAGTAGCTGCTGCTGTTGCTGCTGCTGCTGTTGCTGATTCTGCAGCAGCAGACAAATGTTTTGGGGCCTGCAGCTCTTGTGAGTTCTTCCGTGCAGCAGCAGCACGCGCAGCAGCAGCACGTGCAGCAGCAGCACGCGCAGCAGCAGCGCGTGTAGCAGCAGCAGCAGCAGCAGCAGCAGCACGCTGTGGGCTTTGCGTCATGCACTGCTGCCTCTGGCTGGCGTTGTTTGGGGCGTTGCTGCTGCAGATGCTGCTGCTGCGGCTGCTGCTGCTGTTGCCGCAGCTACGATGTAGGCAGCTTCCTGATGTCTGGCCCGAGGTAGGCGATGCAGCAGCAGCAGCAGCAGCAGCAGCAGCAGCACGAACTGGGGGCCGCCGAGGGCAGAGAGGCTCCCTGCTGCAAGCTCGAGGCAAAGGCGGCCTTGGAGGTTTTGCTGCTGCTGCATCTCTTGCTGCTGCAGTGCCTTTCGCTGCTGCAGAGCCTTGTGCTGCTGCGGCATCTTTGGCTTCTGCAGCATCATTTGCTGCTGCTGCGCCTTGTGCTGTTGCTGCATCTTTTGCTGCTACTGCATCTTTTACTGCTGCAGTGCCTTTTGCTGCTGCAATGCCCTGTGCTGCTGCAGCATCTTTTGCTGCTGCAGCATCTTTTGTTGCTGCTGCGCCCTGTGCTGCTGAAGCATCTTTTGCTGCTGCTGCATCTTTTGTTGCGTCTTGTGCTGCTGCAGCATCTCTTCCTGCTGCCGCATCTTTTGTTGCTGTTGCAGCATCTTCTGCTGCTGCTGCAGCATCTTCTGCTGCTGCAGCGTCTTGTGCTGGTGCAACATCTTTTGCTGCTGCAGCGCCTTGTGCTGCTGCAGCATCTCTTGCTGCTGCAGCATCAGCAGAAGTTGCTGCAGTAGCAGCAGCACCCTTAGACTGAGCGGAACGCAGAGCTTTTCGCCGGGCAGCAGCAGCAGCAGCAGCAGCAGCAGCAGCAGCAGCAGGAGCAGCAGACGCCTCCCTCTCTGTCTCTGCCAGCAAGGCCTCCCACAGGCTTCCAGCAGCAGCAGCAGCAGCGCATTCAGAAGCCACACGAACTTGCTGCTGCTGCTGCACCTGCTGCTGTTGCTTTTTCTGCTGCTGCTGCTCCTTCTGCTTCATCTGCCGCTGCTGGGTTGTGCCTGCCGCAGCAGCAGCAGCAGCTTTATCAGGCTGCTGTTCTCGATTTTGCTGCTCCTTTTGCTGCTGTTGTCTTTCTAATGCTGCCTGCTGCAAATCACGGGCGGCAGTCTGCTTCTGCTGCCGTTGTTGTTGCTGCTGCTGTGGCTGCTGCTGCTGTTGCTGCTGCTGCTCGCGGCGCAGCCCTGCGACAAAATGCAGATGTCTCTGGAGGCGCAGCAGCAGCGTCGAGCGCAGAGGGACGCCTGCTGCTT